TTTTACCTGTTGTGATACAACTTGGTTAATTGGGTCGGATTGCTTTCTCACCACAAGTGAACCACAAAGTTTTTCAATTATGCCTAGATCACCTCGTTCACCTCGTTCAGGCCTGGTACAGAAACACATACATAACACAACATATAGCACAGACTTATTTGATGACGCAAGATTAACGCATTTTACTGACCTTCTCTGAGTAAAACCTTTAAACGTTTAGCTTTTCAAATCATTTTAAACTTTAGGCTTAGTCAAGCTAGATCAGAGTTTGTCTTCAAATTTTACACATAGTTGTAAGATCAATATTAATGTAAGCCAAGCACACACTAAGGTTACAATTAAAGGTAATTTTTACAGCAAAAGATCTTTTATTTTTTTCCAGTGAAGTTACTCAGCATATATACTGTATTTGTAAAATTGTGCTTCAGAGTTGAAATAAACCCAGTAATAAAACCTACAGTATATTTAATTTGCCAATATTTATACAGCAGGAATTTTTGATATGATGAAGCTCTGTAATGACATGTTTTCCACTCATTGCTATTAGACTCATTAGTTGTTAGATGACTGCAGAGGTTTAATGTTGACTCTCACAGACACCATCATCCACACGGACATACAACAGCTGAAAGCCTCAGAGAAAACCCCTCTGTTATTCTTCAGGACTGAAAAGATGACCTCAATAGCATAACATCTATTGTTTTGTTTTGTAACAAATAATACGTACAGTATTTCATTCATTTGTTGAGTTACTTTAGCTCAAGTTTTGGGTTGCACATCCATTTATTGTCTAACATGTGGACTCTATCATGTTTGGTCCAATTATAAATGCATGCTATTAGACATTACAAAAATATTATTCTTTTGAAAGCAGCATGTGTGTCTCACAGAGCTTGTACACGTCCCGATATCAATCATCTGGTAAGAATGGCCCCTCGGAGCAGGAATGCGCTGGGATTGTGTGCATAGGGTGAACGTGCGGGAGGGAAAATATTACAGTTGGAACATTTTCCCATAAAAACGTTTGATGGAATTCAGAGCAGCCGCAGAACGATTCAGACAATCTCAAGCCTCTCAAACCAAATCTCTGTAAGCGAGAAAAGGCTTTGTTAAAATCAGAAAATACACTTACGGAATCGTAACACTTTTGTAACATAGATCAACGTTAGCATATAGATAGAATCAAAGGTTGAAGAAAGCTGATTGTATGTTTTGAAAATGCTTTAAGTGTTGCTCTGTGTATTTCTGCTTAGGCCAGAAACACAATCTATTTGTCTTCAGCGCTGCTCTCAGCCAGCTGATCAATCTGAAACCAATTAACTGACATGACAATGCTGTCATGTTAACATCTCTACCAGTGTTTCTCCTGTCTGCTCAGTATGTTGTGCATAGGCAAAAACATAGGTAAACCGGCTATAAAAAATAAATACGAAATATAATTTGACTTTTTGTAGCTAATTTATATTCACAATACAAATGGTAAACCTCTGGCAAGTTGTATCACAAAAATGTGACTGTTATCCAGGAGCATAACATTGCTTCACACACAAGTAATGCAATGGAGGGCAATTCTCACCATTAACTATGACTTTTACCTCATGGAACTCCAAATTTGCTGCTTTTTAGTAGTTAGTAATGCAGTTGTTAAATTTAGAAAAAGGGGTGGGTTAAGGGATAGTCTTGCAGAATAAGGCATTAATTTGTGCTTCACAAGCACTAATAAACAGCCAATGTAATATGCATGCTAATAAGCAACTATTTAATAGTGAGAATTGGTCCTTAAACTAAAGCGTTACCATATTTCATGAAATATATCAGTACCGTTGACAGAATCCTGATCTTTCTTTCTTTCGTCTTTGGTTTAGCGGCTAAGCCTGAGGAGAAGGAGGAGGTGCCAACTGTTGCGGGCAAGGTTGATGCTGAGAAGGGAAAGAAGAAAGAAAAAGAAGGCAAGGGTGCAAAAGAAGGAAAAGAAGCGAAGGGAGAAGAGAAGGATGAAACCACAAAGAAGAAAGGGGAAAAGGGGGAGAAAGGAGCACCGAAGAAAGAGGCATCGGATGGAGGGAAAGGTAAAAAGGGAGGTGGAGAGAAAGGAGGAGAGAAAAGAGAAGAAAAAGGAGGGAAAGGAGGTGGAGCCAAGGGTGGTGCCAAGAAGCCTGCAAAAAAGTGAACACTTAGTCACCTTTATGGTGTGTGCTAAACTTTCATTAGCCATTTTGTATTTTTTGTAAGACAATTTATAAAAGCACATTACAGCATATTTATTTTACTGTAAAATTGTAAATATTGACAATAAATGAGTCTCTGTTAATTATACATTTTCATTTATTATTCACATGATCAACACTAAAATATACAACACTGGTGTACATAGAAAAGTTAGTTTGCATTAATGTAACTTAACATATAAACAACACCAACAACAACAACAGAAATTCAAATTTTTGCAGAAAGAATATTCAGTTTTGGGTAAAATATTTGTTGTTGCAATGTGTCAAAAACACTTCTACCGAGGACATGAAGAATGATGGGATGTAATAAAAATATGCACATGAGTAAAGCAGAGATATTCAAAGCAGTAAAATAAGATCAATTTCTTGACTGATTGATCTGTCATGAAACCTCAATATCATCCAAGCAGTTATTTTCAAATCAATCCCTGTTAATATCTAAAACAAACAATCTCAAATGTTATTGAGTAGCAAGGCATACAAAGTGCAAAAATAGATGACATTTTATAAATAATACAACTGAAAATAATAGATTACATTTATTGGTAAAAACATGATTGAAATGTTGACATTTTGATCTGTCCTCAAATTCAAATTCAGACGGTTGTTATGTAAAGAAAAGCAGAATGCATATGTATATCTTTTGTTAAAGTTTATTTTGTTGCGTAATGGTATGAATTTATTGACTAGTAAACACGAATTGCTTGAAATATGAAAACAACTGAATTTAGGCTTTTTTCAGCATATGTACTGCTGAACTGCCAGCATATAAAATCATAACCTGGATTACAGTCTTTCCATATCAGTATTACATTCTAAAACATACGCAGAGGAACATTTAGCTCATAACTGTGTGGACATTTTCGTGTAATGTGTAAACACAATATTCACATATATACATGGAGTAACAAAAAGCAGCATTATATTACACATAACAGACCATGAGCCTCTAAACCTACAATACTGACTTCAGTTTGTTCTTCCTTATGGCTGTAAAACATGATATTCAGCTTCTCATTTACAGTAATGCATGAAACATTAAGATGAAACGATTGGATGTAATGTGAGGCAGTGGAGTGAAGCATGAGCAGGTATAATAAAAGCCTTTTCAGGATGAAGTCTAGATGTGAAAAATATGACAGTCATTCATTAGACGATAATGAGGATAATGTATAGGGGTTTTCAGTGAACCGCTCTTATGATGCCTTTAATGGAGATCAAGAGTTCCCTGAAAACTCTTACAGGACAGAGCATAATGATGCTGTTAATTGATTACTCAGAATGAGAGGCGTATTTTATTCATTCATGGCCTGACACTTGAAATATGTCATCTAAAAAGGAAATGAAAGGTATACTGGGTGCTGCTAAAGGATATTTTGTAAGGCAATATAATCATGTTTGTGATTATGAATGCACACCTTACTTTAAGCACTAAATGCACACTCTTTGTGCTTCAGATATGAATGACGCCTTATATCATGTGGCTTGTTAATAAGAATTATTGTATTGCTTATGCATGATCAGACAATGTGACGATGTTCCACTTTGGATGAAAAAAATGGCCTTAGTGATAAAAATGGAAACAGTTAACAGTATTATAAACTATGCTAAATTGCAATGGTTAAGGCAGCCAAAAACGACCCTGAAAATGAAAAATGCAGACAGAATTTCTCTTTTATGCTTGTTAGTATAGTATGTGTTGGTCCTAACAACAAAACTCTTTGACGTTTCACCACTGGCAACATTCACTTCATCATCACTGGCAATAATGCAAGCTTGTGCTGTATAAATCTACACAGATTCAGAATGAATTCACACATGAAGAAAAATACAGTCTGGCAAGATTTGGCAAATCTACTGATTAAACACATAGATAAACAAGACACAACCGCTCAAGGCTTAGAGACATAGAAATATCACATTCTACTAACACAAACCTGCTATCATAATACAAAGAGTGTCCTCCCTACTGGCAGTCGCATCTGTAAATAACATTATATTAGTGCTGATCAAAAATTTTTTTTTGAAATATGAGTGTCTTATGGCGCTTTTCCACTGCATGGTACGGCTCGGTACGGTTCACTTTTGGGGGTTTTCCACTGGGTACAGTACCTGGTACCTGGTACTTTTTACCTGGTACTTACACCTCGGTTGGGGTTCCAAGTGAACCGTACCGTTACCAAAACGTGACGTGTAAACTCTGCTGATCATGGATTGGCCGGAAAGAATCGTCACTACCTGCGTCACCGAACTTGCGACACAAACACAAAAGAACCGCTAGATTTAAATCAGCACAGCCAGCGAAGGATCGAACGCAACTGTTTTGAACGAGCGCACCTTTTTTTAACAGCCAAAAAGTTTTGTTGTCTGTTGCGGAAGAACAGACGTTCCTCTTGTTGATAGCAGAGGAGCGGATCCAGAGAGAGCTTGATAGGGCGACGCAGAATGAAAAAGTTTTTTTAGGAGTCGTGGTAGTAGAGGCAGCGCAACTATAACCACATGTGAATAATCCCGCCCACTCTAAAGCGGTACTGAACTGCAGTGGAAACGCAAACCGGGCGGAGCCGAACCGTGCCGTACTGAGCCATACCGAGCCGAGTCGTACCACGCAGTGGAAAAGCGCCATTATTTACAATTGACGGTCCACAGTGCCATATATTTTATATGACTTGATCCTGAAGCAAACTCACCGTTGCCCAATGCGTTCACCACAATTTTTGAAGCTAAAATCTGTTCACATCTTCCGAATACTGCTGGTGAAGATGGCCTGGTTCCTGAAGTAGCTTCCAGTCTTGCAAAAACATTGTGGCTCCTTTAAAAGACACGGATCATATCTGGTCCATTAGGTCCAACTGTACATCTTAGATGGTCTCACAACCCAAATTGTGAGGAAATCCTGAGAAACAAAGGACTCTCTAATCCTTCGACATTTTTCATCGTCTTTATTAAGGTTTGTGAAGTCACATGACTGTTTCTCTTTCCTCCTCCACCACCGGGATGGTTTTTTCCACCTGGAAGTTCTTCGAAGGTTCTTCCTCTTGTATATGGAGCTCCTGTCCCGAGGACGGGATGGAGTTCTCAGAGACCGAGCCGTTCTTCACGTATCCCGGGAGGTTCCGGTGGCCGTTGAGGGAGACGGGCCCCAGGCGGGTGGTGAGGTGCAGGGCCAGAGGGCCCCGTGCGTTCACGTTAGTGACGCTGGTGTGAGACACCATGGGTCCATAACTATATGTGTTACTGCCACTCCGGGCTTTTCTCTTGAAGTCCAGAGCGAGCGTCCTCCGACTCCATGACTTCTTGATTTCTGCTTGGACCTAAAGTGTGATAAGAATGAGAATATATGTGAATGAAACAAGCAGCTGGGAAGTAACTGATTACATGTAATCTGGATTATGTAATCAGATTCTAAAAATGAAGTACTTGTAATTAGATTCCATTTTAAACTACTCATAATCAGATTACAGTTGCTTTTTTATTGATACATTATTTATAATTGATTGATTCTTCCTAATTCTTCTTTTTCACCTTTTAAATTTTCCTTTCTAAAATAGCCTATCGCTTACATGCATTCAGAAAATCTGTCCGTTTTGTGGACATTCACACAAAGACCAGTCACTAGTCATGTGACCGCAGCATTTGACCACTGGATTTACAAAAATCTGCCTTTTCTCAACATTTCAACACTGCAACAACTACTGATAAGCATATTAATGGTTTTTGAATTATCACTCAGTGGGTTTAAGAGAATATATCAATTAAATGAAACGATTAAAGCAGTAAATTGTTTCGGACAATTAATAATGCAAATTGAGAATTTAATAGTAAGTGCTATAAAATTGTATAAAGTGCAATTACTAACAAAAAGCTAGGGTCCTAGGACTGCGGTCATGAATCTGTAGTCTCCAGTATTGCAGGTGCATGCTATTTAAAACCACTGAAACACAAACTGACCTGGAAGCCTGTCTAGAATGTACCGACATAAGTGAAAATAATTAATTATAAACAATTAAATACAAATTAATTCTTACCTCTCCATTGCAGAAGCAATATATAATTGCAACGAAGAATCCCTGGAAAATAGAGCATGAATTTAAAATATAATTATACAAGTAATAATAAAATATTTTGGTGCCTTTGTACAATTTTAAATGTCTACATCTTTTTGAAATATTACCTGAAATGAGTTAAAGAGCATTTCATAATGCATCTGGATTTGCCACGGCACCCCAGACACTTCTGTATAGGGCATTGCCATGAACACAATGTAGTGAACCCCAAACAACGGCATGAGGACCAGCGTCGATTTTAACAGCTTTCTGTGGCATAAAGAAAAAGAAAACAAAAAGATGAAGAACCGAAGTATATGTTCGGGGTCAATAGGATTTTTTTTTTTAAGTAATTGACACTTTTATTCAGTAAGGATCATTAAACTGATAAAAAAAATAACAGTAAAGGCATTATAATTCTACAAAAGGTTTCTATTTCAAATAAAGGCTATTCTTCAGAGAATCTTGAGGGGGGAAAAAGATATGGTTTCCACTTCAGCAAATTACAATGATTTCTTAAGGATCATTTAACACTTTTTTAATATTACTATATATTTTTAAATATAAGACAATAAATGAAAAATATATATAATAAATTAAATATATTATATTTGTAATTTTTTTTATGTATTTAAATAGAAATCAGCTATTTTAAATAGTAATATTACTACTGTATACTGTATTACTTACTGCATTTTTGATCAAATAAAAGCAGCCATAGTAAACATAAAACTCTTCTTTCAAAAACATAAAAAAATCTCAAATGGTAGTGTATAGGGGTGTGTTCGAAGCCGAATACCTTATTCGGAAAGGCACGGCTAATGGCTTAAAAAACGAATAACGGATAACGAATAATTCTGCCCGAATATTCGGCTGAGGCTCGCACACTCTGGTGTTTGCTAGATTCACAGGTGAGCCAGGGGATCAGCGCGATATCTTACACAAACCTCTAAATTCACGCAATAATGAGTGTGTGAAGTGAATGAATGTAAACTTTATGAATGAAAAGAGCGCAAATCAAACACCGCATTGCTGTTGCCTCTCCGTGCATCTCACAGAAATCAGAGCTTGGCAAGAGTAATATCACCTAAAATAATAGGACCTACATCATACAGGTTCTACTATTTGTGTATATTTAAAAGGCAATGATTTAAACCTTATAGGCTACGATATGATACACGAATGAACGGAATAAGCACAGCGCGATCGCCAATCAAACGCGATCTCTGCGCGTCTCGGTCTCTCAAAAACCAAACCAGCTCTCTGTCAAGAGTAGGCTAATAATCAACCAAGATACATATACATTTTCTACTAGGCCTACATGTTTGCTTCTTTATCTTTTGCTGATTTGCGTTGCACATGCACATTTGTTTAGTGAAATTCAAAAAAAGACTCGTTTAAGAGTTCTGCGTAATGAAAATGTGCGCCTTGAATTAGCTAATTTAGTCGTGTTCAAATTAGGGGTTGCACCGACTAATCGACTAGTCGACTAGTCAACTTCGACTTCGACTAGTCGCTGGTCCTATAGAGGGCGCAACAGGATAAGAAATCTTTGAAGGACTTCCACATTTACGCTCCGTTTCCAAACAGTTCAAATGACAAATAAATGCATACTCTGAAAGCGCTCCACAAGACATGTGATTATATTACTGGATGCTCGAAATTGAACGGGAGAATGCACGTTTTAAACAGCTTATTGCACAGGTAAGTTAATCGCCGTTCTAATCTAATGCGCTGCTGCACTGTAACGCACACACATAGGCTACAGACAGTAGCACCTACATCACGCGCACAGAGTCATTCAGCGCGGAAATGTATTGTCAACACTGTTCTGTGATTTCTCAATAAAATAGCTTAGAAACTGAAAAGTTCAAGCATATATTTCTTAACTAAATTCCACAGCTTCACTACTAGTAGAGAGACGCTGCCAGGTAGAATGAATTCACACACGCAATCGCTCTCACTAATGCATTCATATTAATGTAATCTTTACTGTGCTACTTTATCTGTATCTGATTTAGAATGAGCAGAAATCTGTGAGAAATATAACGACCCAAAGACAAAATAACTGATAAAAAAGCTGTTATAGGAGCAATAGCCATGTGGGCAGCGCTGTGTCATATGCCATAGCTGTGCACAAGGTGTTTATCACAGCTCCAGACTTATTTGTTCATTAATGACGTCATCAGCGACTAGTCGACTTCGACTCGACTTTCATCACATAAAAGTCGACTTCAAAAAATCAGAAGTCGTTCAACCCCTAGTTCAAATGATCCCTAAACGTTTGTCATGAAATCTCTCCGCTTGTAGCCTATGATAAATGTATTTTTAGAAATTATTAATTTCATATTTTAGAACACTGAATAGGGCAAATAGTCGAAACATAAATATTTCTCCGCCTACTCTGTTCTCTTTTTTTCCATACTTTTCCAGACCTGCAAATTACTTAAGTGAAATACTTTTCCAAACTGCGCAGCAACCGGTGAGCCAAAGGAAAGCATGTTGTTTTACATAAACCTCTAAAATTACAACAAGTGTGTGAAGTAAATGAGTGTAAACGAATGAAATAAGCTCAAATAAAATAGTGTTGCAGTTGCCTTTTTCCATGCATTTCCTGGAAATTACTTAAATCAATTTCCATATTTCTTAACTGCGTAGGAACCCTTACTATTTTAATTAGAAGATATTACAGTATTACAGTAAATATTTATTTATCGGATCACATAAGGTCCCCAAGCTGGGACTCGTACTTGCGTTCCCCGAAGCACAACCGCATCTCCAAACACTGCCTATACAAGGGTATCGGCTCTGACTGTTAGAAGATATTTAAATAAATGTTATAATCATAAAAAAAATAATTATTTTAGTTAAACATGGCATATTTGTTCGGAGATAACTACGAAAAAAAAAGATAGGCTGTAAAATCATAACGGTCTTATGAAGTAACTGTACGAAGTTCCGGTTCAAGCTCTGCCTACTTCCGGTTTTATCCGAATACAGATACAGATACGAATAATTTTGTGATTGTTACAGATACAAATACAGATACAAATACATGCTTCGCTGCACACCCCAAGTAGTGTATATATATATATCAGATGTTGAAAAAACAAAAACAAAAATCTTACCTATACTGTTGTCTGGTGTCACATCTTCCTGCATTTGTTTCTCTAAGTTTTGTTGCCAAGACTCTAATTATATTCAGGAACAACAAAAAATTTACCTTTGGGAGAAAAGTATATACACTAATTTAATAGATCATAATTGAGACATATAACTAACAGACACATGAAATAACTGCATTCACAATAAAGGAACTGGTAGACAAATAAATATAATATTTGCAATTTACTTGAGACACATGAAAGTTCAACAGAACTTTGTCAAACTTGTACACAGTTGACAGAGTTTACACTTCTCATGATTTTAAAATATAAAAACATTTTTCATCAAAATAATGAATGCCTACTTATGAATTTCATTTTTATTTATGGAAACTTACAACAATTGCTGTCAGAATAGGGATCTGCACTATCCATTTCAGGTTTCCTGCGCTTAAATCCCAGCACCTGTATATCATAAACCAGATCAGTCACTTTTAGAAAGCTCAATCCAGACATCCTATTAATATTTAATAGATAGTATACAAAGATACTGTGTTTTATATCTACAGTCTTTTGCAAAAGTCCTGCGCATGCATACTGTACATTGTTTACCACATAGAGAATATTTTATTTGTTCCACAAGCTGAATTAATATTGCTTTCCTGTATAAATGTACACATGGTAATATTGGTAAACAATTTCAAACACAAACACTTACTCGGTGTCAGCAAGAGTGGCTCTCACGCTGGCCCAAATGGTCACAAACATCGCAGGAACACCTGTTTAATGAAACCTGTTTAGTAAAACCTTTAGTGACCTTTACTTTCAAATTGCTACATACAGAAGAACCCTCATTCTGTATAATTTACAGTGATTATTGCAAGTAATTAAACTAATAAATAATTATATTAGTTTATTTGTTCTTGTATTGTAAATAATAACAACAACAACAATAATAATAATAATAATAATAATAAATTAAACAAATATTGTATTGTATTGTATTGCATTGTTGGGTTGGTGGTGGTGAAAAGGCTGGCAAAGCATTTATATAAGTCTGAAGTACTGGCCCAGCAGAAAAAAAGTCTGTAGTTGAGCCTTGGCTCTGCAACACTGGTATTAGCAACACAGAAGTGGCTTAGCTCCACAGCATCCACATTGTATGCGCTGTGCATGTCCAACTTTTCCACACAGTGTGTACAATGCAGGAGCCGTGAAGTAAAAAGTATATCCACAAAGGCAGACACATTTGCTGCTGTCTCCAAAAGATATAGCACATCTGTGCTGCACTGGAAACAATTAGCAATACCTCAAAATAACTGTTGCTGTTCGTCAAGAGTAAATTAAAAAATCTGTTTGATACACAAATTGATAGCCTAGTTGATAGCCTATTTCAAACTAACTGGAGAAGATGTCCGAAGAAAGCATTAATTAAATCTTTTGGATGATTTGGTGTCTGTAGCCTGTTGTGTATTGGAGTCTACATGAAGAAGATTGTTTACTCACCCCAGCCAATCAGAGTAAAGCCCCAAAGGTACTTCCTGTCTGAGAAGAAGGTCATGAAGATAAGGCTGTGCAGGTACAGGCCTTCCACCAGAATCCAGTAATAATTAGTCGCCAAGAAGTACAAGAAGAGAGTGACAGCCACCTTACAGCCAATCTTGAAGGGTAAAGTAAAATCGATTCAGCACATATTGATTAAAAGCATGTGTTCCTATTTCACCTTCATTTGGTTTTGAGATACAAGCTACGTGTAACTTGACTCAACCTCAAAAATCGAAATGCACAGTTAATAGTGAAGAATGATTTAAAACAAGTTTCGAAAGATAATGTGAGGGGTTACCTGTGAGATGAGGAAACGAGACGTGCCGTCAGTAGCTAGTGCTATGGGAAACTACCTTTCTCCAAAAACCCTGCAGCCTTATTGAATCACACCAGTGTCTTGGACTGGCCAATGGCGTTCAAGCGCACCAAATGGAAGCGGCTCTCACCCTATCAAAATCCTCAGAATTGACTGAGGAATAACTGGAAGCTCTACTGATAGTTAAAGTACAATAACAGCCGTTAAATGCAATGTTTCATGCCCTCATCTCTGGGAACTGAAGTTACGAGAATTACCACTTTTGAATTTGGTTCATTGCATTGATAGCTGATCATATGGGGAACAGTGTCCAATCATGCTGCACCTAAACGATTTCTTCTGCTAGGAAAAAATGTGACCTTTTCAGCGTGATTACGCAATGCCTGAAGTTTGTGGTTAACAAGTATATAAATTTTTATTTTTTTTTAGAAAATGACTGATCAATTAGCTAAATAAGACTCTTATTCCTCGGCTGGGATCGTTTAGAGCCCTTTGAAGCTGCATTGAATCTACAATTTGGACCTTCAACCAAAAAGTACTAAAACAAATTGTAAACAATTAATGGTCACACTTTAGTTTGGGGATCAGTTCTCACTATTAACAAATTATTAACTATGACATGTGCCTCATTAAACTCCTCATTCGCTGCTTATTAATAGTTATTAAGGTAGTTGTTAAGTTTATGTACTTGGTAGGCTTAAGGGATCTAAAATATGGTCATGCAGAATAAGGCATTAATATGTGTTTTATTAGTACTAATAAACAGCAATATGCTAGTAATATGCATGCTATAACCAACTGGTTAATATTGAGAATTGGTCCCTAAACTAAAGTGTTACACAATTAACATAAGTAAAATCAAATAGCAAGCCAGCCAATGATGTGCAAGACGGCATTAAAATATTTATTCAAATATTTGGCTCACTCCAATGCCATTGGCCAGTGTGAGACACTGGTGTGATTCAATAGGGCATCAGTATTTTTGAAAAAAGGTGTTTCCCGGTAGCATCAGCTACTGACAAAATGCAGTGTGAACCTCAATCGAAAGGGAACTGGGTTGCTGCTGGATGGCTTATATCCTAGTCTCTTTATATGGCTTGGGACCCATATTCATGCCAAATGAGAATATCCATAATCCTTCCTGTTACTAGGTATTGAGTAACTAACATAGTTACTATAATAGTCTTAATTATAATGTTTAATTAAAAAGGAAGTTAATTTAATTCACATAAAGCTTAATTGAAATCCCTGTTTCCTGGTTACGCACATATGTGGAAATTACAGGAGGGTCTTAGTAGCAAGTCAACAACAAATGGCTTCAGAGGATAACGATGCTCCCAAACTACTACTACTATGGCAACAACACAATGTGAGATTCCTCTGTTATGGACTTCACTGATAGATATGATTGTATGTGTGCTGCACTTACAAACTTGGTTTTGTTGGCAGGAGGTGCTTCTGTGATGGATTTGAGATCCTCCACAGTGATGCTCTCCATTTCCTGCAGAGCGGCACCAGAGTACAACACCACATCTTTCACAAATATACTAATGGCCCTTAGCATGAACGATACAAACAGGTGCATGTGGATGTAGTTTCTGGTGCAGTGCAGCCGCCTGAAACATAAAAGATAAAAAAGAGAAATTAGGTCAAACAAGGGTTATTTTGTAATTAGGTGTAAATAGTGTGAGGTATCAAGGTACATGAAATCACAGACCACAATGTTGCAGATTAATGTACCAGTAGAATGCAGATTAGTACCGTAGAATAGCAGATACTTGGAGCTGTGTGTATGTGTGTGTGTGTGTTTAGTTGCTCTCCCATGCCCTTTCACAGAGGCTAGAAGAACAATACTGATCTTAATTAGAGCCAGATGAGTCTGCCGCTGACTGTAACACATTCTTTGGATTTAAAAGGTTCAGAAAGCACAAATGTTGAAAATGTAGGGCTCAAAAAGTAAGCTATAAAAACAAAATTGCAAGCATGTGTTTCCCAAATTCCCTTCGGTTTGTCTACACTCTCTCAAACTAGTTTGACCGGAGCAAGTCTATTAAGTAAAAACTCCTCCAGATTTGTTGCAGTCCTCTGAAAGAAATGACGTTGCAGCCTGATCTCATGAAAATTCATAAGTATTTGCAAGAAATATTTACATTACAGCTGTTAACGTTTAAAAATCTACACCAAATCCCTTATATTACATTGTAAATATATTTGTGCAGGTATATTATATAGATAGTTTGCCCTTCAGCCACCTCTACCTAAAGCTAACCACATAATAATAATATAAAAAGTTATAATATAATGCACAGTTCACATATAATGTAAATATGCACAGTGACAAATGTTTTAGTTATAATATACTATTGTACGGATATTCCCAACTCAATTCAGTATGCAATAAACCTGAAAAGATTCATAAACATTTGTACATTCCTACAGTTGTTCATGTGTAAAAATGTTTGCGTTTTAGATGCTGCCAACATATCCATCCAGTATGTTTCAATGCTTATGCTAACGTACAAAACCATACATGTGCTAGAGCCAAATGCATACTGTATGTTTATTAATGAGATCACATTAGCCATCGGAGCTAATGTCATAGGGCACTTTTGTCTCAAAATGATACAGTATTGATCTAAACTAAAAGACTACAGGCACCTAAATGTCTGCACTAAAATGCCTTGAGAATGAGAATGACTGATCAATTTGTGCTGTAAGAGAACAATTTCAAAAATGGTTTCAGAACCTCCACTGGTCATTAATAATTGTGGGTGTTTGCTTTGGTCCAACACCAGACAATCACCACAGATTGTGTGTGATATTTTAAAGATAGCATGGAATCAAAATGAATTATCCATATTATTATGATTGTTGGTATGATTTACTGAGTGGTTGCTAGTGACTGATCAATTTGTGCTGTAAGAGAACAATTTCAAAAATGGTTTCAGAACCTCCACTGGTCATTAATAATTGTGGGTGTTTGCTTTGGTCCAACACCAGACAATCACCACAGATTGTGTGTGATATTTTAAAGATCAAAATGAATTGTCCATATTATTATGATTGTTGGTATGATTTACTGAGTGGTTGCTAGTTGTTGAAATATACCGTATTGATGATAACCATGATATTTACATATTCATATCATGTTAACACTACAGATATGACAATATTGTAAACAATCAATATTGTCAACAGGACGTGCAGATCAACAGTAAGTGCAAAATCATGAAATACTACCAATAAGGCTTTCCAAAGTCATTGAAATGCTGTTCTTTTCATACTAAACTATCGATCATTGTGAATAATCTTTTCTCAGATCAAGGCTATTATAATTCAAACATAGTGTTTGTTACTCATGTGAACAAGCACTGTTTTGCATCTGATTTTGTGATTTTGTTGGCAATCTCAATCTCTGAGTGGAAAATCAGGGCTAAAATAATGCAGTGTGTAGGTGGCATAAGTAGCAGTTTAGTTTGCTTGCCCTAAATGTTAGAATAAGGTCTTGTGTTGTTAAAGCTTATCATGGTGTTTGACCTTTTTTCATATCAAGATCTCATTATCTCATCTCATTATATTAAATCTGCTATCAAGATAGCCCTAGATGACTGCATACGGATTTATAAAAATAATTTTTGTCACACTCAGAAAAACTTTTTTTTTTTAGCCAAAGAAACACTTTAAAATACTACAACTGGATGATTTTATATTGACTATAGAAATGTTCAACTGATTTCAACTAATTCAACTACAACTGATTTCGGTAACAAATAATGATTGTGTCATTATGTTCAGCTGTGACTCGTCAATTATCCTTATTTACTCTACCTTATAAGTTGTATTCAGTTCAGTGTTTCTTTGTCCGGTCTTGTCTACGTTAGCTGTGAGTATGAACCCTGTCTACCTGATATGGATTACCCTTATGTGGATTATTAAAGACTGTTTATCGTTCTCCTCTTTGTATTCGTGCTTCTCTCCCGCACCACACCGTGACACCAGCATATATTGGCTGTTTATTAGTACTTAAAGCACATTTTAATGTCTTATTTTGCATGACCGTAATTTAGATCCATTAGATCTAGTCCATACCTAAACACATCTACAACAAAATCTACCTTATTTACTACCAATAAACAGCAAATTAGGAGTTTATTGAGGGAAAATACAGCTAATAGTGAATATGTGCTCCCTAATCAAAAGTGTTACAGAAAGTTCTATAGGAGAAATTGGATTAATAAAACTTGGTTTCAAATTAGGGATAGTAAAAAAAATGGCTAGACAAAAATTAAAGCCACTAAAAAAAAAAAGTCAACCAAGGCCACAACCACGTCCAATTTGTTTAATAAAATCTCTCATTTGTATGCCCAGTGTGTAGACAATGCAAAAAGCTTCTTGTCTCATCATATTCAGATAGGAACTACATGAATCACGTAAATGATACCATATTTTCAATTCATAACGTTGAAATTTGAACTAAAAAAAAAGTTATCAGCATCACTGGATATTACTGACAGCTGTTTAACATTTCTGTCATAAAACAGTTGTCAAACATTAGATGTTTTACTACTTCCATCTTACCTCAAATTCTTTCAACCTTAAAACTGACAATTCTGCTCTGCTTCTGTGAAAAGTAAACCCCGCCTACTTTAATTTGATTGGCCATCCTAATCACTTTGTCATTGACGAGCATTGTTAAATCACTAAGGCTAAAAATGTAACTTTTAAACCTTTTTGTCATCGTAACCACAAACTGAACCGTATAATTGTCATTTTCTTTTGTGATCAGTATCCATTCCGATTTTTGTTAATTTGGAAAAAAAAAAATTGGTTAAAACCTGCAAATGTGCAAAATGCACACTTCAGGTGTGCAGTCCGGTTTCTTTTTTTTTCAGCCAGGCATTTTGAAATATGAAACCTTTTGGGTTTATTTTTGTTATTCCTCTCGCTCTTCTGGAGAGGTTTAGAGCAGCTGTGTGGAATCGCTTGCCTCTTCGTCATTAGACTAACTGCTGTTTAACCACCGTCCCATTGGGAACTATTGATCGGGAAGCTCCGGAGAGCCGATCCGTGTAGATCCTGGCTTCTCGAAGCGTGCCTCAAACACTGGAGCTAATGTTTGAGAGTCACCGTACTGCATGGCTGATGTCCTGGAACCCATGCACCTGAGACCATACTACTGACACTGTGAGCACAGAGCATGGAAACGCTGGCAGCAGATCAGCAGCAGCCCAAACGAGCCCTTATTAAAGTCATTTTCCTGACCTGCATTTCCTGGTGCCCAGGCAATGAGCTGGCTCTTAAAAACACGGAGCACTGGAGCCGAGTCAAGCTAATCTGGTACCTGTCAGCAGCTCGTTCCGCACACGACCCGACCCTTTATTTGAATAAGCCCGCTGGATAAATAACGAAGGGAACCTCTTTGCATTAATTAGCAATGAAAATGGAACGATTGAATGCAAAAGTAATAAATGCACTCATATGTCTTAATATTGAAAAAGGGCCAGTACACACGCTGGGTGAACTATTAGAGAAACATTCATTTGATGCCGTTCATTTGGAAAACCGATCGCTTCAGTCAAGTCAAAACACAACGTTTTATTGAAGTTTTAAATGTAAAATAGTCACTTTCAGCACACTTGCAAAAACATTAACTCCTGAACCATTGTGCCTTATTCCTGAAACACGAGCAGAACGTGCCATTCAAAGCCATGCATAGATCAAATGTGACAGTTATCGCTTCAGTCAAGTCAAAACACAACGTTTTATTGAAGTTTTAAATGTAAAATAGTCACTTTCAGCACACTTGCAAAAACATTAACTCCTGAACCATTGTGCCTTATTCCTGAAACACGAGCAGAACGTGCCATTCAAAGCCATGCATAGATCAAATGTGACAGTTTAGGTAAAATTTGGTAGACTGCAAATAAAGTATTAATTTGCAAACTATATATATATATTTGAAGAGTTCAGATGCAAAAGCCCCTAAGTGCCATTTGAAATGTTCTTCTAAAATTTTTCTCAGGCTCCTATGTTTATGTTCAGTTATTTCAGTTTTTTTTTTCAAATAAACTATTCATTGCCATTAAAGTGAAATTACTGAACGTGCACTGAGCCTGAGTAAAATGCTCATTTTAGAAGAAAATTTCAAATGGCTTTTAGAGGCTTTTGCATCTGAACACTTCATATACTTTGTATTAATGCAATTAGCAATTAATGTCTGATAAAGATGATTTTCATTTAGTATTTTCCATGATCTAATTATTTGTACATACTGTAGCAAAATAATGTATTAACAATGTAGGGACAAAAAGTTTATAAACTATGAATTAACTAACATAAACTAATAGTTTGCTAATGATTTATAAGTGCTTTGTTACTATAAACCTATTAAGTATTGCTAAAATGGGTTTTACAAATGATTTACACTTGTTCTGCTCATGTCTCATGACCATAAAAGCACACATCAACTCAACATTAAAAAAAATGACTCAAAGTAATTTAGTTTATTGTAAATCATTTCTCCATCAAACCAGTATGTAAACATCGGCAGCTGGAGTCTTTGATAAATGCATCTATATCATCATGAGGTCTACATGTGGATATCATAAAACTCGCATCAAGTAAACAAATCGATTAAAAAAAAATGGGGCCTGTATATTGTATTTAGATTGTAGTCTAAGAACACTGATTAAGACCAATTTCACACTTCCATGGTGTTTAAGCAATCCAAATTTCTTTTGTATTTATTGACAGATTGCAATATTTAAGCAGCAAATGCTGTGGAGGAAAAGCAGCACTGCAAAAAGTGTTTTGGCGCTGAACTCTCAATTTGCAAGACAAAAGTGACAATTGCAGGATAAGAACTCACAATTGTGAGGAAAAAATGAAATGCTGGATATAAACTTGCAATTGCAAGTAAAAAGTCTGAATTTTGGGGGTATAAAATCACAGTTGTGAGAAAAAGTCATAATTATGGAATATAAACTTGCACTTACAAGAAACACAGTCAGAATTGCAAGATATAAATGCTCAATTCTGACTTTTTCTCACAATTTTGAGTTTATATCTTGTGATTCTGACTTTTTTCATGCATCTGCGAGTTTATATATCTCAATTCTGATTTCGTCTATGCCTAACTGTTTTACAAATTGACAAAAAAGTACTACTTAGCCAAAAAAATCACTGAAATCTCTGCAAAATAGTTCTGTTGTTCAGCAGGAACAATGGTAGTGTTAAAGCTGCGAACGCTGGCATGTTTCTGGCAAGTTCTATGCAAGAACTCTATGAATCAAAGAGAAAAATAAAAAAATCTAAAACATCAAGTAAAAAGACAATGCCAGAATATTTTATGCATAGACGTCTTGTTTGATGTGCCATTTTTGTCCAAGCAATATCATTTCTGCACAGCCCCCAGACTGAGGAAAAAGCCCTTAAAATTGCTTTTTTAAAATTCTTCATTGTGAAGGGCTTCGTCAATTCTTTCTGTGAAAATAAGGAGGTGGGTTTTTCTTACCGAAAGTATCCTAGGATGACTGTCGCCACCATAAGTGATCCCAGAGAGATGGAGTAGCCCACGGTGTAGATCAGGTAAAGTCTGTCAAAAACCTCCTGAGAATAAAGACAAAAATAAGAAAGTGAGAACAAGAGCTAACAAATAACAGCACCGGGAACAGAACAGAAAACAGCTGTAGGTCTTGATGTTCAAGCAAGAATATCAGAATGGGCGTATAAAACAGACAATCATATCATAATCAAAATATATATTGAACATGTATTAGGACTGACAATTGAATAAAAAAAATAACTAAACGAAATAGCTGCAATTAGCATTTACATTTAGTCATTTAGCAGACGCTTTTATCCAAATGAGGACAATGGAAGCGATCAAAATCAACAAAAGACCAATGATACGCAAGTGCTATGACAATTCTCAGTTAGTTTAACGCAGTACATGTAGCAAGTTTTTTTTAAATTATATAATAAATAAAAAGAAAACAGATATTCAGAATAGAAAAAGAATAGAGCAAGCTAGTGTTAGAGGCCTTTTTTGCTTTTGTTAATTGTATAATTTATCATTTTAGGGGCAGGAAAATACATTTCCAATCTTACAGTAGCCTACATTTAGGTTAAAATCAAATGTGGATGAAAAACCCTACTACAGTGTGCTTTTATGCTTTTAAAATATATATTTAGATTTTTACAAATGGGTAGAAAAAAAGACAGAAAATACATTTACATCAATAATATATTTACATATTTAATAATAAAAAAATTGGGCCATTTTTATTTTTGTACATTTTGAAATATATTTAAAATACACGTAAAAATATGGGTTAAATCATGATTCAATTATTTACAGAAAGAAACTCCCAATATAATCAATGACACTGTCTGCACTGCTCAGTGGATCTCTTATTTACATTCTTGCACTGTGTTAGTTATGATGAAAGCATTCATGAGAGTGCAGAAATTGAGAAAGATCATTGCATTCGTTTGCTCAACAGACATGACTGCAATGATCTATGCTTAGAGCTGCAACATTTTACTCAACAAGACATCTAAATATGATATGAAGACATATTCCTTTAAACTAAAATCAGGGTATAATGGGTTAATGTTGTTTTTTTTAATGATTTTAAATGATTAAATTATTGTTTTTGTTGTTAAAAAAAATCCTTCTAAAATTGTAAGTGCACCACAGGAAGTATTATGAAAAAAATTTAATTTATGATCCCTGCAATTCATGCATTTCATATTATTGATAACACTAGCAGCCCTAACATGCTTTTAAAAGCACATTATCTTCTATTTTTCTTTGGACTATAGTTCAAACTCTGGAACCTTTTAATTATTTCTTCATCTCAATACAGTATATTATGACCTTGTCTGAAACAATCCCAGTTTCTTTATGTTTACTGATATTTACACCACATGAAAACGCACGCCGGCGGTGTCTAATTTCTGTTTGGGCTTAAACTCAAAGCTCAAACATTCGCATCTTTTGGCGTGTAAACAAAAGCAGAGCTGCTGAAGGAATTACCTATCCAATCTCTGCCTTTGGCGGTTTTTCTGCCAGAAGTGCAACTGTTTATTTGGAGGGCAAGCTGACACCCGGTGACTAAGGTGTCTGCTCACAGACTCTTGCAAAAACTGTTTGTCTGGAAGTTCAGAGACTCGACAAAAGCTGAGCGGTGAGCGGCGAGCGGCCACGCTTTCAACTGCGATGACTTCAGGCTGTAGGCAGCCGAGCAAGTTCACATCGCAACCGCACTAACTGAGCGAGCTGGGTCAGTCGTGTGCATTAGAGGAGAGCAATCTGGAGCTGATAGAACAAGAGATTTGCCAGCTGTTAACATTTAGCATGAGATGCGATGGCCAAACCCAGCGCTGTGTTTGTGCTGTTGAGTCGCTGCTCTCCAAAGCGTTTCATTTGCATGGATGCATTTCTCATTAACTGCAGAAGTGGCTCTTGGGACTTGGGAAGCAAAAAGGCATGACCTCAAAATATAGATCTCTACACTCACCCAACCGTGTTACAGATCAAAGGAAAGTATCTTCCAAAAAAGTGGCAAATAAAAAACTGGAAACCATAATTGACTATTTGAACATTTGAACAAATAACTTTTGTGCGGAGAGCAACCAAGGATCTGTAAAGCCTTTGTGACAGAATTGTTATGAATATGAATACATTGATCCAGAACTAATGATTGTAAAGGGACAGCTTGCTCAGACCTGAATGATGGATGAACAAATGAGATATGAGCAATGATGTGTAACAGTAAATGTCAGAACTGAATTTTAGCAAATTACTTTAATGATCCACTTCATCAGGAAATTCACATAATACAGAAAAATTACTCATTTTGATCTATTCATGTCAAATTGTGGAACTAAAGATGAGTGGTATGCATATAAAATATGCAATCTTTTAGACTTTATTATCCTGTGGTAGATATATCAGAGCTATCACAGAGTAAAGCAGTCATTAATCTAAACTTAATTGTGAGAGCAAAATTCAGAGCAGGAAAATACAGAAAATACAGAGCAGGATGTGACCCAAACCAGACAAAACAATGAAGAGCTTGCTATTAAAGAGTATTTTTAAGTAAGGTCCAACACAAGTGGATATTACAGCTTGGCACATATAGATTTTAACTAATGGCCCAAAAAAATAAAGAATAAAAATATAAATAAATAAATACATGCAAAAAATAATATATTTAAAAAATATAAATAATTATTTTTTTTAAAATATATTTTGCCCTACATATATTTCAATCCAAGAAAATACATTCATATGCCATATGAGGCTTGAAACTAACTATATTATTAAAAATAATAATATATAATATAAATTAAAAACTATATTTTATTGAGCTTCACTGTTTTCAATATATATTTAGCATAGATTTAAAATATATTTTAATATATATAAAAAGATTAGCATGGCCCAGACCTGTACGTGATCTTACACTGCATGCAGTTGCTGGCAAACATGATGCAGAACGACTTGACTCTGTGATGTCGACTATGAGAATGCCTTAATATGCCCCTAAAATTCAAGATTTGGGTTTTTGTCTTACCTTTATATAATGCGATACAATTTAGCAAAATCATATGAGCAAGGGAGATGTTTTTCCTGAATGAATGAGCCATTTGAATGAATCAGTTGAATGAATGACTGAATGGCTCACCTAATCACTGCCGCCACCTACTGGTGATTTTAGTTGTATATTTAGAGTATCATTTACATTTAGCAGTATAAATGCATTCATGCCACCTCTGAGTCTGAACAGTCTGCGTAAACATACCTAATGCAACTTCAGATGCAGCTTCTGAAAACAATGTTATAGCCACATTGCAGCCTTAAAGGTTTGTGTAATGTAATGCCTATTCAGTGTTTTTCTCATTTAGCACGTTGCCATAATAGAACGTCTAGAACGTAACCCATAGGATGCTGCATAATGATGCAACAGGAACATGTCAGTGGCCACAACGTCTGAAGCCCTAGAGAATCACACTGATTCATTAGCTGATGGTGTTGAAGAGAGACCATAACACACACATCACAGGACACTTATGAGCTTAAATCATGTCAGATTTTCTGCTATATACAGTACACAAACCCAAGCAGCTACAGAGAGTATCTACACAGCGTCTCAGTAATCCAGACGTTTTCTATTACAAGTTTTTGGTGAACTACATTGATTATGCTGATTCCATTGATTAAATTCAGTTCAGACTTGTGAAGTGGAATAGTTTTTCACTGAGGCTTTAGCTGATGTGCATTCCTCATCTAAATGATAAATAGTTCAGCCCACAGCTCAGCCTTTTGCCCGTCGACACCAAAATGAAAAGCACACAGATGAGAGAAACGAATCTAAACAAAACTAAACAAACAAAAAACTTTAGTGTTAACATTGATGACTAATGAACTGTGTTCACACGATGTGGTTTGACATCTATAGGAATATGAAAGAAAGTCTTCTCATGTTGTTCCAAGTCTGCATGTCTTCTCAAGACATGACAGCTTTGAGTAAGGACCAAATCAAAATTTAAACACTAAGGGGGCAATTCATTAATCAGTTGCGACTCTTGCAACACAATTGCTGAACGTTTTGTCCACTTTAAATCCATGTACAGTATATGTAAAACTCAAGTTTACTTCATCCACTTATGTTGTGACTATGAATCATTTTTGCTGCATTAACGGAAACTGGGAATTAGATGTTTAGTTAACAGTATTCTTTGCATAGGGCTGGATTAGGACAGTAAATATTGAATAATATGAAATTAAGTACTATTTTATGTGTTTATGTCAAGGGAAAGACCTTTTGGAGTTGAATGTTCATTTGTGCTTGACATTGACATGATGTTAATATGGAACTGTTACTACTAATTAAATCATTGCATCCATTTATATGTTTGTTTGCTTCAATGTAATTTGTCTAGGTCAAGTTGCCTACACAATTCCTTAGTGAATCGGATACTTAATCAGTTCAGTCAGAATGTGCAAGAAAACACTTATAGCAGACACCATGAGGCATATTCTGAATTAATCAGAAAACAATCAGAATATACAGTTTTGGGTGATGGTACTTTAAATCTAATTTACATATTAAAAATGCTTGTGGAGGCAAATTTGACTTCAGTCGATAACAGCAACTGTAAGGTGGAAGGTCTTACCCTCTCTTGGTTCTGGTTATAATGGGTGAGGAATTTGGTGCACTCGCTGTAATTAGCCCAGGTTTTGTTGTTATTTGACGACAGCTCCCAGGTCCCATTGATGTCACAGCGCCGGTACGCATGTCCTGTGGATACAGCACAACACATACTCTAACAAAGCAACCGTGCCTTCATTTGGGACATTTGTGTATTGATTTCTCAATCAGTCTGACAGCATAGAGCCACAGCGTATGAAATTATTAATGTTTGCCACTATTAGCATCAAACAGTGCTACAAATATGGATTGAATTATTGATAAAAAGGAATACAATAAAAAAAGAAAAGAAAAAAAAACAGCCACCACTGAGGACAGATTTGAATAAGATGTCCAATTAGTGTTTTCATGTGTAGGTCTCTAGTGTAATTAATGGATCTCTAAAGCTCTACTGCAAACACTGTTTAGCAAGCTTGTTGTTTGGAAAGCAAATTTGCAAATCATTCAAATTTGCTCAAAATCTGTTATTACCACTGTTAGAGAACTTCACCTATTGCAATACTAATAATAAAACATATAAGTGTAAACATAAGAAAATATACTTTTTTATGGGAAGTTATGTGTTAGGTGCTTTTTTGCATCAAAAAGTATGAGAGTTTGTCAGCCTTCTAGGATATTCGGTAACACTTTATTTAAGGACCAATTATATAAAGACTAGTGCTGTCAAACGATTAATCGCGATTAATCGCATCCAAAATAAAAGTGTTTGTTTACATAATATATGTGTGTGTACTGTGTATATTTATTATGTATATATAAATACACACACATACATCATATATTTTGAAAATATTTACATGTATATATTTATATTCATTTAATTTATATTATATATAAATACATATATATTATATAAACATAACATTTTTCTTAAATACAGAAATCATTTTCTTATATACATAATAAATATACACAGTACACACACATATATTATGTGAACAAAAACTTTTATTTTGGATGCGATTAATCATGATTAATCATTTGACAGCACTAA